AACATGATACTTCAAATGCATTTTAATAATCAATTTCCTTTAACCTTTCTTACTTCCCCCAAAGGAAGACAAGGCATTGATTTTCCTCATGTTTGTTATATATAAGAAAAATAAGCTAAGAGACATTAAGATTAGGATTAATTTGCATAATATCACACAATAAGGTGAAGACTCACCTCTCAAATGCTGATATTCTGTCTTGTGTTCTAGTCATTGTATCACAGTAGTCTCTGGGAAATGTAATATTATTGTCGGTATTTTATGATATACAATATGTAAAATGGAATGCAGAGAGTTGAATGGTGGTTATCAAGGGCTGGTGGGGGCTCAGAATGGGGAGATGTCATTCAAATGATGCAAATTTTCATTTAGGAGAAATAAGTTTTTTGGGGGGTCTACTATACAGCAGGGTGCCTATAGTTAATAATGACACATTACGTAATTGATTTCTAAGAATAGATTTTAAATGTTCTCAACACACACACACAAATTAAGCACCTGAGGTGAAAAATATGTTAATTGGTTTGATGTAATCATTCCATAATATATACATATGACAAAACATTTCATTGTACACCATAAATCTATACAAGTTTTGTTTTCAACTTAGAAAAAATAAAAATAAAAAATAAAGACACATGTATAAACAGATAGCCTATTGTGAGGAAGTAGAGCAAAGTCACTGAAAACAGATCGCCTCACCTTAAATCCCCACCGGCCCATGTTTCATCATGTGAGAAATGATTTTAATGCTACCTATTCCACAGGGTGTTTTGAAGAATAAATGAGTTACGATGTTGTAAAGTAATTTTCTGTGAGAGCTCGATCAGTGTTAATGAACATAAAAATCTTTTATTGTCTGTACATGGAAGACACTCAATAGATATTAGCTGCATAAACTCTCCAACATGGAGTGTTAATTCAGATGATGAATTAATATATTTGTCATGTAGAAAACATTCTAGAAATTCAAGGAGTAAAAGAATAGTAGAAATTTTGAAAAAGCAAACTTCTGAGTTCCTTTGTAAAATTCTGTGAATCACTGCTTTGTAGAGAGTCATACAGATATTCTCTCCTAAACCAAATATGTTCTTTTCCCATAAACTGCCATTCCATATGTGGCAAATCTGTATCCAACTTGCAATTTAATGGAGTGGCTAAATGTGCATGCTACCATAAGCCTCAGCAGATAAGAAGAGAGTTATAGTTAATTTGTGAATTCCTGTTGTAGCAATTTCAATACTACAACAGTATGCTTTAGTATTTACATGAATTTACATGATTTTTTTCTAAGTCTTATTTACTGACATATGGATAATGTGACTTCATTGCAAAGATTTTCCCAAAATATTCATTTTTGTACTTTATATCATTTCCAAGTTTGCAGACTATGTATTCTATCCTGTTGAAAATCAATTCTCCATATTTGCTTTCGTGTTCATAGAGAATGAAATTCAGAGAGAAGGAATTAAGTCTAAACCAAGATAAATTAGATGCATCTTTTCCTCTAGGCAGTGGAGCAAATGCAGACTGTAATTTAGTAACAGCACATCTCTAGAAAAAATTACCATTTGTAAATATGTCATAATCTAAGAAAAGGTGGATCCACGATAGTGTTTTACAACTTTAATACTATCGTATGTGTACACAAATTTATGAACTGGATACACCATGTTCTCTGCTAGATTCACAGTTTCATCTATGCTGCAATTTTCTTTCTTTCAATACAAACTAAAGAATGATTAGGCTAGGCCAACAAAATACAATTATCTACTGTGAACTAACTGCAGTGCCCCATTATCATGTTGGCGCCTTGAACAGAGGTTAGAAATTTTTCAAATTGTGTTATTACTTTGTTGAAAAAAGAAAATTAATATCTAAGCTGATATAAAAGAAAAAGATACCTATAAATTATTGACAATGGAAGATCCCTGTGTAAATCTGCAAATCTACATTATGTATAAAGCAGAATAGTTTCCATTTTCAAAAATAATTTTTGATAGCTGATCAGAACGAAGTAGTTTTCTTGCTTTCTTTTTTGGTATTTTTTTTCTCACCATTATTCTTGTAATTTTCCATTGTTCATAGTTTTGTTGATTTATTACACACATATATCTCTTTTAAAATAAATATAATGAAGGATAAATATTATATAATAAATTCCATACACTTAAACATTAAACTTTGACAATGCAACAGACATACATTCCTTTAAAATCACTACCAAATTCTAGACATAGAACTCTCCTCCAAGAAGTTCTTTATTCACCTTGGCTTTCTATTCCTCAGGCCACTCATTCCCAGACAACTATGAACTAGTAGTTCACTCTAGATCAATTTTCATTTCTAAAATTTTACATAAAGTTTATACAACATAATTTATTTTTATTTGAAGTCTTCAACTTCAATTTAACATGATTTTAAGATCCATCATCATAGATGGCCTATGTATGAGTAGTCTATTCCATTTTATTGCCGAGAGGTATTTCATTGTATAGATATATCACAATATATCACAATAGTTTTAGCTATTTACCAGCTGATGAACATTTGGGTTGTTCACACTTTTGACTATTGTTTAAAAAAAAAAAAGCTGTTCAACACCCACCTATGAATGAGAACATTCAATGTTTGATCTTCTGCTCTTCTGTCAGTTTGCTGAGAATGATGGTTTCCAGGTTCATCCATGTCCCTACAAAGGACACAAACTCATCGTTTTTGATGGCTGCATAATATTCCATGGTGTGTATGTGCCACATTTTCCCTGTCCAGTCTATCATGGATGGGCATTTGGGTTGGTTCCAGGTCTTTGCTATTGTAAACAGTGCTGCAATGAACATTCGTGTACACGTGTCCTTATAGTAGAAAGATTTATAATCTTTTGGATATATACCCAGTAATGAGATTGCTGGGTCAAATGGAATTTCTATTTCTAGGTCCTTGAGGAATCATCACACTGTCTTCCATAGTGGTTGACTTTTACCACTTTTTAATTTTTGCCACTGTACTATGTATGTATATAATTGTGACTTATTTTGAATTTCCATGATCATTAATAATTTGACCATCTTCATCATTTACAACATTTATAAAGTATAGTTTCCTTTAGAAAGTGTATTTTCAAATCCTTTGCCCATTTTATTGGATTTATTTTTAATTTGTAAAAGTTTTGTATTTTTTTCATATGTTTGTTGGCCTCATGTATCTCTTCTTTTGTAAAGCGTCTGTTCATATCCTTTGCCCACTTTTGAATGGGCTTGTTTGGTTTTTCTCTTGTAAATCTGTTTTAGTTCTTTGTAGATTCTGGATATCAGCCCTTTGTTAGATGGGTAGATTGCAAAAAAATTTTCCCATTCTGTTGGTTGCCGATTCACTCTAATGACTGTTTCTTTTGCTTTGCAGAAGCTATGGAGTTTGATTAGGTCCCATTTGTCTATTTTGGCTTTTGTTGTCAATGTTTTTGGTGTTTTGGTCACAAAGTCCTTGCCTATCTATGCCTGTGTCCTGAATGGTGTTGCCTAGATTTTCTTCTAGGGTTTTTATGGTGTTGGGTCTTATGTTTAAGTCTTTAATCCATCTGGAGTTAATTTTAGTGTAAGGTGTCAGGAAGGGGCCCAGTTTCTGCTTTCTGCACATGGCTAGCCAGTTTTCCCAACACCATGTATTAAACAGGGAATCCTTTCCCCATTGCTTGTTTTTGTCAGGTTTGTAAAAGATCAGATGGTTGTAGATGTGTGGTGTTGCCTCTGAGGCCTCTGTTCTGTTCCTTTGATCTATATCTCTGTTTTAGTACCAGTACCATACTGTTTTGATTACTGTAGCCTTGTAGTATAGTTTGAAGTCCAGTAGTTTGATGCCTCCAGCTTTGCTCTTTTTGCTTAGAATTGGCTTGGCTATGTGGTCTCTTTTTTGGTTCCGTATGAAGTTTAAGGTGGTTTTTTCCAGTACTGTGAAGAAGGTCATTGGTAGCTTGATGGGGATAGCGCTGAATCTGTAAATTACTTTGGGCAGTATGGCCATTTTCACAATATTGATTCTTCCTCACCATGAGCATGGAATGTTTCTCCATCTGTTTGTGTCCTCTCTTATTTTGTTGAGTAGTGGTTTATAGTTCTCCTTGAAGAGGTCCTTTACGTACCTTGTTAGTTGTATTCCTAGGTATTTTATTCTCTTTATAGCAATTGTGAATGGCAGTTCATTCTTGATTTGGCTCTCTTTAAGTCTGTTATTGGTGTATAGGAATGCTTGTGACTTTTGCACATTGATTTTGTATCCTGACACTTTGCTGAAGTTGCTTATCAGTTTTTGGGCTGAGATTTTGGGCTGAGACGATGGGGTTTTCTAGATATACAATCATGTCGTCTGCAAAACTGGTCATTAGAGAAATGCAAATCAAAACTACATTGAGATATCCTCTCACACCAGTTAGAATGACAATCATTAAAACATCTGTAGACAACAGATGCTGGAGAGGATGTGGAGAAACAGGAACACTTTTACACTGTTGGTGGGAGTGTAAATTAGTTCAACCATTGTGTAAGAGAGTGGCAATTCCTCAAGGATCTAGAAATAGAAATTCCATTTGACCCAGCAATCCCATTACTGGGTGTATATCCAAAGGATTATAAATCTTTCTACTATAAGGACACATGCACAGGAATGTTATTGCAGCACTGTTTACAATAGCAAAGACCTGGAACCAACTCAAATGCCCATCCATGATAGACTGGACAGGGAAAATATGGCACATATGCACCATGGAATACTATGCAGCCATAAAAACAACGAGTTTGTGTCCTTTGTAGGGACATGGATGAACCTGGAAACCATCAGTCTCAGCAAACTGACACAAGAACAGAAAATCAAACACCGCACGTTCTCACTCATAAGTGGGTGTTGAACAGTGAGAACACATGGATGCAGGGAGGGGAGCACTACACACTGGGGTCAGTTGGGGGGAAATAGGGAAGGGGCAGTAGTGAGTGGGGAGTTGGGGAGAGATAGCATGGGGAGAAATGCCAGATATAGGTGATGGGGAGGAAGGCAGGAAATCACACTGCCATGTGTGTACCTATGCAACAATCTTGCATGTTTTTCACATGTACCCCAAAACCTAAAATGCAATTTTAAAAAAAGTTTTATATATATTCTCTATAAAATCTAGTTGTCTATATGCATGTTGTTAATACTTGTTCTTATCTGTGGCTTGCTTTTTAATTTTGTTAGTGGTATATGTCAAGGAGAAAAATATGTCCTTTTTGAGAAAGCCCAGGTCAAGGCCACACAGATATTTTCTTACATTTTCTTCCAAGAGTTTTATAGCATTACTCTTTACATTTGGGCAAGTGATTTATTTTGAGTTTGTTTTTGTATATCAACTTGAAATAAGGTTGATATTTGTTATTTCCTTAAGGATATCCTACTGTTCCAGTAAAATTTGTTGAAGACTATCCTTTCACATTAAATTGCCTTATTGTCTTTGTTGTAAATCAATCGACCATATATGTAGTATGGATGTAACTTTTGAATTTCTTGATATATATCTATTCATATACATATATTTACATATGTTCTAATATGTATATCGAAAATATTTTATTGTCAGCATCAACAAAATGCAGCAAGCAACAACAGAAAATTCACAAAGTCCAACAACAATAAGAGATTACCAAGCATCCAAAAAAAATGAATATATCTATAATCAGGAGACAAATCAATTAATAAAATGGAGCAAGAGATACACAGACAAAATTTGAAGACAGTGATGTTAAACATCCAATATAAATATGCTCCTCCTTAAGATAGGGATTGTAGAGGAAAACAATCATGAGGAGGTGGTAAATGAGAATTTTTTTAAAAAGAAAGACCCAAAATAGAACTAGATATGGAATAACAAGGCAACAAATGAAAAATATGCAAGATGGGATGAGCAACACATTAGGCAGTGCAGAAAAAATGATCCCTGAATTTGAAGACAAAATAATCGAAATTACCCATATTGAACCATTTACAAAAATAATGAACATAATATGCGGAAATATGCTGATCTAGTGTTTATGTAACTGTAGTCCAAGAATGCAGTTGGTGGAGAGGTGAGAGGAGTAAAAAGAAAATATTTAAACTGAATAGCTAAAATTTTTCCAAATTCAATGAATAATATAAGCCCACAACTCCTATAAGCCCAACAAACACCAATCAGGATAAAAATTAAAAATGCCTTTCTTTCGCCAAGTATGGTGTCTCATACTTAATCCCAGAACTTTGGGTGGCTGAGGTGGGTGGATCACCTGAGGTCAGGAGTTCAAGACCAGCCTGACCAACATGCAGAGACCCCATCTCTACTAAAAATACAAAACATTAGCCGGGCATTGTGATGCATGCCTATAATCCCAGCTACTCCAGAGGCTGAGGCAGGAGAACCACTTGAACCTAGGAAAGTAGATGTTGCAATGAGCTGAGAGAGTGCCATTGCACTCCAGCCTGGGCAACAAGAGAGAAAGTCTGTCTCAAAAAAAAACAAAAAAACAATTGCCTCTTTTTAACAGTGAAAGCAAAAGAAAGCCTTTTATTTATTTATTTACTTTTGGGACAGAGTCTCACTTTGTCACCCAAGCTGAATTACAGTGGCATGATCTCTAGTCACTGCAAACTCCACCTCCCAGGTTCAAGCAATTATCACACTTCAGCCTCCTGAGTAGCTGGGTCTGCTGGCAAGCACCACCATCCCCGGCTAATTTTGTATTTTTTGTAGAGAAGGAGTTTTGCCATGTTGGCCAGGCTGGTCTCGAACTCCTGACCTCAAGTGCCCACCTCGGCCTACCAAAGTGGTGGTATTACAGGCGTGAGCCACCATGCTTGGCCAGAAAGCCTTTTTAAATAAACACAAGTGTAAAGATTTCATTTCCATCAGAACTCAACTATAAGAAACGTTAAAGGAAGTTCCTCAGGCAGAAGGAAAATGATACCAGATAAAAATGTAGAGCTACTCAGGAACTGAAGAATAACAAAAATTATAAGAATGTGGTGAGATGTAAAACAAAGTTTTTCTTGCCTTAATATCTTTAGAAGATAACTGACTAGTCATGTTATTGTTGGCAGGAGGCCTCGATTCCTTGCCACATGGTCGTCTCTATAAGGTTGCTTGAGTGTTCTCACAACTTGGCTGTTAGTTTCCCTCAAAGCAAGTGATCCAAGAGAGAGTATGTGAGGAAGAAACTGCAATGCCTGGTATAACTCCATCCAAAAGTCGTATGTACTTTCACTTTCACCACATTCTAGTCATTGTATGTGAATCATGAAGTTCATGATTTAGGTGAGAAAAATCTTTTGAAGAGAGTAATGTCAAAGAATGTGTAGACGTATTTAAAAATTACCACAGGTTTGTGAGTGTTTAACAGCTGAAAGTAATAAACTGTTTTGCTTTGGAGAAATTACACATTACTCATCTATCACCTGTGCATGATGGGACTATGAATGCAGCAGCTCCACCCACTCCCAGACTCATGGTAACCTAGGAGAGGCCACTGGACACTGAGGAAGTAAAAGTTTGATCAGTGATTTCACAGCACCTGCTGTTTTTGTGTATCTGCCATGGGTCTTTTCTGGTAACTTATTGCTCCATTTCAGGGCCTAGAGTGATCAATTCAGGCATAGAGGCATAAATAATCGTAAATAATGCTGAGCAATCACAGATCACCTCTATCCTTCTATGTAGAGTATTGGTCTTCATGTCAGACTCCTTAGATTGGGATCCTGGGTCTATCACTATGGAGATGGATAGCCTTGAGAAAATTACTTAAGCTTCTTTGTGTTCCAGTTTCCTCCTATCTAAAATTGAGATTAAAAAATATACTACCTTTCTCACTGGGCTGTTATGCGTATTAACAGAGTTAAAATGGGTAGTTTTATATTTATGCTTATATGTATAATTGTACTTATATTTATAATTATTTATAAAATTCATATTTATTTTTATATATTTATATTTACATATTTTTAAGTGTGATTTCAGAGAGGACCTGAATCTGTGACTATTGGCAACTGATTTCTTAGACATACTGAAAAAAGCTTTTGGAGGAATAAAACCCAACAAAAAGAATGAAAATTAAAAGGTAGTACCAATATCATGATTTGAACCCCTGAATCCAGATGTGCCTGAATCCATAGGTGGACTCCACTATTGAGAAAGCCAATCAATTTCCTTTCTTATCACCTAAGTTAATTTCAAATTTCAATTTCAAAGGATTCTGAGAAATACGGTATATAAAACTAGTAGCACTGCTCTTATACAGCATGAGTCACCAAGAATGTTGACTTACGTTGCCCACAGCCATTATAGTACATACAATTTTAATAAAGGGAAAACCACATATGCTAATAAACTTTGAATGGTAAGTGATGGTCTTACTATCCAGGTAGGTGAGCTGGAATCGGGGAATTGATGTGAAATTCTCACTTACTGGGTCATTGTTTAGGAAGATTTTATCTCTGTCCTGAAACAGGAAGGGTAGTTCAGATGAAGTGAGGCCTAGTCAGGTGCCCAGAGGAAAAAGAAATTATCAAAAACTAAATGCCAAAAGTTAAACTAAAAAGGGTAGGGACAAGGGCAAGTGAATGTTGGTATTAGAGAATTATTAAAAAAATCTTTACCTTCTTTAAAATTTGGCTTAAAAGTTATATGTAATTTTTGTCTATTTGAAAACACTAATAAATTATATTAACCAATTCCCTATCCACCAATTTCTTATCCTGCACACCTCAATTTTATACCAAAATATTTCTAAAGTAATTTTGATGCAGTGAAGAATTTTAAACACCTATTATCTTAAGTTTGCAATACTTTTTGGTTTATTATTATTTAAGACCATAAAAACTGAAACTTGCTATAAAATACATGACTATTTTTCCTTCGAAATTATGCGTGAATGTGTATATTGTATATGTAAGTGTATATACAGATTCATATAATGATATATATGTTCTCTTAACCAAACAATTTTCTGATATATTCTCTATTTTTTGCTGAAGCTTACTTTAAAAAGTGGTAAGAAAAGTTACCATTCAGACAATTCATTGTGAAAAAGAAAAGGAGAGGAAACCAATTGAATAATTATCTTCAATAGAAAATAAAATTATTATTTACTTCCTGGTGCTCTTAAAAGATATAACATTCATTTGTTCAAACAATGGAAACTAAATGACAAAAGAAGAATAATATGAATGCTATATTTTTTATAAAGGAAACACTTTTAAAAATCAATTGCTATAACATTAGCAGCAAATCTTCTTAGTTATATTCTGAGGAGAAATTGAGAAATGATCACTAATGCTAATAATGAAGAACATAAAATGAAATTAGACTGGCTTTGAAGGGACAATAGCAAATGCCTTTGAGTCCACTGTAATTTATTCAATTAAGTCACAGGCAAAACATAACTAAAGTCAACCACTGATAATAAATACAAAGTGTCAAACAACATCTTAAAAATAAGGAATGTTTCAAAATATTGATGTAAAATATTTTGATATCTGGCAAATGATTGACTTAATTTTGTATTATTTGCTCAAATATATAATCCTCATGTAGGGAAAGTTTTCATGTCATGATTTTATCAATATTATTCGTTAGAAGCACACAATCATATTACTTGTTGGTAGCAAGTAGATTATAAAAGTGTAAAATTAGAGTTCATAGATATAGCCTGGTACTGTGGTATCCCATTCTTTTGAACATCATGGCAAATTTAGGATAAATATTTAAAAGTAGCAATTTTGTAAATTGAAATAATGCCAATTTTCACTGCTCTATTTTATTAATACATACTCTAATTACTCTTTATTATCCATGCCCTGGGCCATGTTTTGGAATTCTAAGCAACAGAAGTTAGTAGGTTTACGTTGGCCTTAAACAGATTTTGCATTTGAAAAATTTAATCCAGGAAAGGAATTTAAAGAAAGAATAAAAAAATGACCCATTTATTCTGAGCTTGAAAAAGGCACATCATGCAGAGGAGAGCTGGATGCAACCACAGTGAGAAGTGACTTATATTCATACCACATGCTAATATTTCAGATTTCACTGATGTCTTTTCACAGTGAAAATAGCCCACACTCTTGGCCTCATGTCGAGTAACACACCTGGTAGTGGGAAGAAGATCTTGAAGCAGATGAACTGCTACATTGCTCATAGCACTCGCTCTGTGGGGAAGCTGTGCTCATTTTGAGCTCTGCTGTGGATGAAAAGACAAACCAATAACCTGTGGAAAGTCAAAACACACACAAAATTAACCTTGATAGGCCCATAATTGAGAAACCAATCAAAAGACAACATATTAGCCAGCATACTAACTCTGATTGATTCAATATGCTTTCTCTAACAAGGCATTTATGCTCCTTGTTAATGTAACTGACTTGTTCTCTTTGCTCCAAATTTGAATATTTATAAAGCAAGTCCCTTTAAAAAATGTTTTATATCTTTTTTCTCAAGTGTTACATTAACATCTCCCATAGGATTTTATATATTTGTTTACCCCTACTTCTTCATAATCATTTAACCTTTATGTATTATTATAATCATCATTACCTTTAATCATATTATTTTCTTAACAAATAATTCTTCCCTAATATGATCGTTATATTATTATTTTCCTAGTAAATTATCAGTATCAAAGAATGATATCAATACATCCTAGAATAACCATCCTATTCTTTAAATGCCTCTGAAAAACAATTCTATATGCTCATTTCCAAATTTTCACATTCATAAAATTATTTCACATTCGTAAAGTTCTTCCTTTCATTAAACCTAAACTGTTCCTATTTCAAATTACATCGATTTGCTGTGGGTCACTGGAAATAGGCAACTATTGATTACGTTTTCTGCACAGTGAATATTAAGGATGAAATTGTCAAGGAGACATTAAAATGTGACGTCTTGAATCATGAAGACAGAAAACATCTTGAAAGTTCATTGCCTTATCTGGAAGTCAATATCGAATTAACATCAGGAAAACTAACAATTACTTCCTGATTAATACTCCAAAATAAAAGTAACAAAATTTGGTCTTTGTTTCTTTGTTGCAATAACATTATGGTAATTTTTTTGTTTTAAATTAATTATACCATCTTACACTCTCCTGTTTAATTATTGGTAAGTTAGTTTATATACCTGTCCATTCACTAACTCAGTAGTCTTTTCCTTATATAAAACAATCTTATGTATCTAACCAATTGGAATATTATTTATAATTTTTTGAGCAAGAGAACACAGGAATATTATTGATGTTATTTTCCTATATTTTTCAATGGTATAGTAATCAAATTTTAAATGACTATATATATTAAACCTTAGTTTATTTAACAAACACATTTATTGCACTGGCCATGTACCAGGCATAATTATAAGTGCTTTAATAATATTAATTCATTTAATCTTATTAACAATAAATTATATTCTAATCACAATATTAATGTTGAGAAGTATGCCAAGGTAACACTGCATATAATATAATAGTAGAGTTGGAATTTGAACCCAGATAGCCCCAGTTCCAGAGTCAGTTCTCTTACCCACTGTTTCATGCAATCAAAAAGGAAAGGGAGGGAGGACACTATGAGAGGATGGCTATGGCAACATACTTTTTGAATCTCATAAGCATACAGAGAGCAGCTGGATACTAAAACATACAAAACAACTAGATCAAATGTCCCAAAATTATAAGCAACTTTTACAGCAAATTGAGAAGGCAAGATATTTCTACAAACTTCGAAACACATATGATTGAGCACCAACCATCAACAATCACAAGACCCACACGACAGCAGCCTCTGTGCAGGACAAAGCAGAAAAGGCAACAAGGTGTCTTGTCACAGCATTCCAATTTGAAGACAGCAGCTGAACTGAGAGTGTTTTTGCCAAATCCAGTATGAAATGAGTTGAGAAGTCCACAGTAAGATAACGAGAAAAAACTGGTGCAGTTTGGCTCTTTGAAAATCTTAAAACAAACGAGTTAGGCTTCAAAATGACCTAAAGTAAAACTAAAATTACTTAAGAGATTAAAAAAAAATTCAGGAATGACATGAAAGAAAACCTGAGAGGTATATTAAGAGAACTCAGGAAAAAGAAATTTTTTCAAAAATCCAACTTTTCAGAAATAAATTAGAGAAACATAAACACAATAGGAAACACTTTAAGATAAATAAAAGGTAAAAGATAAAAAAGAAGAAACTTTTTAAAATTCAGAAGTAAATGAAAGAAGAGATTTAAAAAATTAGAAAGTGACAACTATTGAAGATGGGCAAAGGAAGAATTTTCAACAGACAGTAACAGCCCAAAGGATGAAAGAGGAATAAAAGAAAAAGAAAATGACACTAAAAATTTCAATTCAGAAAAACTTCCTAATATAAAGAAGAGTTTTAAATTATGTATTAAAAGAGCATATCAGTTGGGAGTGGTGGCTCACTCCTGTAATACCAGCACTTTGGGAGGCTGAGGCTGGTGGATCACCTGAGGTTAGGAGTTCAAGACCAGCCTGGCCAACATGGTGACACCCCATCTCAACTAAAAATACAAAATTAGTTGGGTGTGATGGCACACGCCTATAATCCCAGCTACTCGGGAGGCTGAGGCAAAAGAATTGCTTGAACCCAGGAGGCGGAGGTTGCAGTGAGCTGAGATCATGCCACTACACTCCATCCCGGGCAAAAAAAAAAAAAAAAAAACTCCTTCTAAAAAAAAAAAAAAAATCACTTAACATATGTAAGAATATGGTCCCACAATGACCAATGTCACGAAATATGGGGCTTCAAAAAAACAGAAAAATTTTTTGATATTAAGCTAATTAATTAATTAATCAAGAGAAATGTACTAGTTTATAATTAGTCTCTTTGACAATGACATTTAGCCTCAAAGAAAACAGAGTAATATAGTCAAGATATGCAATGAAAACAAATGAAGATTTTAAACTCAGCAAAACTAAGTTCAAACTATTATCAATATATAAGAACTTAAAGTTCAAACTATTATCAATACGTAAGAGTTTAAAAAATATTGTTCCCTTGAGCCATTCACAAGGAATTTACTAAAGGCTGAACTTCAGACAATTAAGATGACTAGAAAACATCACTATAAGGATGAGTGGTGATAACTAAACTTATGGACGTTTATAGATGTAAAATTAACGACAGTTGTCACGGGAAGGGTATTGTTCGAATAGCTATGTGCCGTGATATTTTTAAATGATGGAATAAGGAAGAAAATCTTTTATGAAAAACTACTTTCACTGTTTTTATTAATTATATTAGCAGTGGAATATTTATATTATTATTATAAGATTATTGTGTGTCACTGCTGTATAAAACAAGTGAAACAAGTGAGTAATTATCATCACTTATGATCTCAAGAATAAGAGTTTTTCAAGTTGGAGAAATATAGATGGAATGCAGAGTGGTTAAGCTAAAAAGAAAAAGAAAAGAAAACCTGCATTGAACTGGAATTATCAATATGAATCATGCTATTGGAATGCTAATTTTTATATTTTGCTGACTACCTAGCATACTTAACTCCCAGATTATAGTCTTACATTACCATTTATTACTAAAAGAAGGTGAGGCTGTAGGGGGATATGGCTGATTCCAGCACTGGAGCAGGGAATGTGGAAAACCATATCAGACATCAAGGAAGCCATTAAAGGCCATTATAATCATGTCAAAATGACGCAAAAGCTAATTTCTAGAGGCTTTTATTATCCAGTGATACACAAACTATTTCATAATAATACAACATTATTGGTTAATATTGAAGGATAATAGACAACCTATTAATTCTCTTGAAAATAGATATACAGAAGGGCAGAGTCAAGCATTTATCATGCCTTTCCAATTTGAATTTTCCAATGAGTAGCCAAGTACAAGAGGAGGGGATGTGTCTCTTCATAAAAGTATTTAATTAACAAATTAAGAGAAATAATAGAGGAATATGAGATATTTAATTCCTCAATTAACAATAATAGAGGAAATTCCCCAGTGAATTAATAAATTGATGCATTAGAACCACTTCTGATAATGTCACAAAAGAGATAAATAGACATAATTTGCTATCTATAAAATTCAGATTATGAGATATTCTCTACAGGGCAAACTGTTTTTCGGCAGACTATAAAAAGTCTAAAAATAGCAAAATTTTAGTGCTGTTAAATTATGCTATCTAGAAATTCTCACTTAGATGTAACATTATAAAGAAACGTAGGGAAGTGGTAACTAAAATAATCAGGATAGTGATTACTTTGGGGAGGGGAGAGAAGGTTGGAAATGGTATAGGAATTCTGAGGATACCTCTGGGTAGCTGGCAAATTTCTATTTATCAACTTGCGTGGTAGTTACAAGGGCATTCACCCTAAAATATTTCATTGAGCTATAAATATGTGTGTTTTCTATATCTGCATTTCATTTTCTAGTAAAAAAATAAATAAATAACACTGATTTTTTTTTTTTTTTTTGAGTCGGAGTTTTCGCTCTTGTTACCCAGGCTGGAGTGCAATGGCGCAATCTCGGCTCACCGCAACCTCCGCCTCCTGGGTTCAGGCAATTCTCCTGCCTCAGCCTCCTGAGTAGCTGGGATTACAGGCACGCGCCACCATGCCCAGCTAATTTTTTGTATTTTTAGTAGAGACGGGGTTTCACTGTTTTGACCAGGATGGTCTCGATCTCTTGACCTCGTGATCCACCCGCCTCGGCCTCCCACAGTGCCGGGATTACAGGCGTGAGCCACCGCGCCCGGCCCTGATTTTTCTTTAATGAAACATTCACTTAGACACACATGTATTTTTCAAGTGTATAACTTTAACTCAAAAATAGATACTTTCTATATTAAATCTTATTTGGGGCATAAGAATTCATCTGGTATATCAAGCCAAATATCAGAAAGTCATTGTATATGTCATGTTCCTCTCATGACAGTTCTAATTTGGCTCTTCTGCTCTCTTAACATTTCCACACATATCTCCCTTTCTTGTCAACCCCATCAACAATTCCTCCTTCCAGAATTCTAATGCTTCTTTCTTATGTGATAGAAATTCCCTGTTATATAATTACTACGTTCTGATTGTCTTCTACCTTATTCTCCATAAAACTACCAAAGTGATATTTTAAAACTTAACATTAGTAATATTATCGTTCATGATGAGGATGTCAAATGTCGTTTAAAGTACATGTGGGTTTTCCTTTCTCTTGGTAGAACTTAAATACATAAATACGTATTTTGCAAACTTTCAATTAACACTATTTTAAAGCAAGTTTAATTCAAGCATTGGATGAAGTAATAGTACCAATTCAATGAATAGAACAAATACACAAGGGTCTAATGTTTCAAAGAAAATTGAATGATATTCTTCAAGTTACAGAAATTTGCCACAATTGAAGTTTATTATGGCATTTGTTATATTAGAAGCTGACCATCTAATTAAGCTAAGTTCACTGTAGTCATAGGGATCATCAAAAAGATTAAACTTTAGGTCTAGCCATTCAAAAGAACTCCAGTGTGCTCGCAGTGATTATTTTATTTTTTCTCTTAAGATGACTAGTAGAGTTGCAGACAAGACTCTCACAGAGTCACAGATTATTCCATTTTTAACTGGAAAAATACTTGAAGGGCCTAACACTCTCATTTCACAAATATTGACTTTAGGGAGAGACATTGGAAGGGTTGCTCAAATTTCTAGCACTAGACGTGACAGATAAGAGAAGAAACCAGTTCTTTCAACTCTCAAAACCCACTCCCCTTCCTTCAGTGTTGATATGGTCCCCACCTAAATCTCATCTTGATAATTCTCAGGTGTTGTTCCATAATTCCCAGGTGGGAGGGACCTGGTGGGAGATAAGTGAATCATGATGGGGGTCTTTACTATGCTATTCTCATAACAGTGAATAAGTCTCACGAGTTCTGATGGTTTTATTAAGGAAAGTTTCTCTGCACAAGTCCTCTTCTCTTGTCTGTCACCATGTGAAACATGCCTTTCACCTTCCACCATGATTATGAGGCCCCACCAGTCATGTAGAACTGTGAATTCATTAAACTTCTTTCTTTTATAAATTGCCCAGTCTCAGATATGTCTTTATCAGCAGCAGGAAAATGGTCTAATACAGTAAATTGGTACCAAGAGTGGGGTTCTGCTGTAAAAATACCTGAAAATGTGGAAGTGACTTTGGAACTGGATAACAGGCAGAAGTTGGAACAGTTTGGAGGGCTCAGAAGACAGGAAAATGTGGAAAAGTTTGGAACTCCCTAGAGACTTGTTAAATGGCTTTGACCAAAATATTGTTAATAATATGGACAATGAAATCTGAAGTGGTCTCAGATAGAAATGAGGAACTGGAGCAAAGGTGACTCTTTATTATATTTTAGCAAAGAGACAGAGAGCATGTTGCCCCTACCCTAGAGATTTGTGGAACTTTCAACATCAGAGAGATAATTTAGGGTATCTAAGGAAGAAATTTCTAAGCAGCAGAACTTTCAAGACGTGACTTGAGTGCTGCTAAAGGCATTCAGTTTTAAAAGGGATACAAAGCCTAAAAATTTGGAAAACTTACAGCCTGACAATGTGATAAAAAAGAAAATCCCATTTTCTGAGGAAAAATTCAAGCCAGCTGCAGAAATTTGCATAAGTAATGAGGAGTTGTATGTTAATCACCAACACAATGGGGAGACTGTCTCCAGGGCATGTCAGAGAAATGTATGGCAGCCTCTCCCATCACAGTCCCAGAGGGCTACAAGAAAAATAAAAATGGTTTCATGGGCAAGACTTGGAGTTCCTCTGTTGTGTGCAGTCTAGCCACTCCAGTCATGACTAAAAGGGGCCAAGGTGCAGTTCAGGACTTAGCTTCAGAGGGTGCAAGCCCCTAGCCTTGGCAGCTTCCATTTGCTGTTGAGCCTGCAGTGCACAGAAGTCGAGAACTGATGTTTGGGAACCTCTGCCTAGATTTCAGAGGATTTATGGAAATACCTAGATGTCCAGGCAGAAGTTTTCTAC